GGAGGGGAGGGGAGGGGAGGGAAAAAAGTAACTTAAAGGAAGACGCTTATTTTTGGGTTTGCTGTTGCCCAATGTACCTCCAACACAGAGGTGACCATGCTGCCTACAGCATGACGTAAATGTACCACTTTGCTTCTTGGGTCTGGCAGAATACTATGACTATTGTACACACTTACCAGAAGCTAAATAAAATGCAAGGTAACGATAAACCAGACTTTGTGTCTCTAAAGGTGCACTCATACATCTTTTTTTGGCTGCAGCTGGGCTAACTAAAGAGACAACTACCCCCTCCCCTATCAACTGTTTGTCCTTCCCTTGCAAGAGGGTACCCCTTGCTCACACAGCTACCTGTGTGAGTGACAACTACCTACACTGTTTCAGAAGCAATTTCATGCTGTTCACTCAACCAATCTGGTTGTGGCCCAAACAGATAAGGGATATTCATATGAATGGCTTTGCAAGTACATCCTGAAGAGTAGTAATCCCAACAGGGAAGCAAGAACAAGCCCCAGGATTAATCACCTTTTCAGCCTGAATAAAATTCCCATAGGAGGATGTACAAATCCTTAAAGCAGGCACAGTTATGACAGCTCACCTGCCTTCCAATCATTTTGGAAAACTGCCACGAGAAGCTAACAAGCTAAACCAGTTACAGGGAAGATGGAGGCCACAAAGGTGGGATCCATGCCAGAAGCGCACTTCAGTTCAGCTACATAGGTCTGAACTACTTTTAATCAAGTGTAACATCCACAAACAAGGCAAAACACTTCCTAAGAGCCAAAAGAGATGTGCAAAATTTAGGTGTAGAAAACTGTAGCACCTGGAGAGGCAAATTAAAGAAAGACAATAATGAAGGGAGGTTTTTTTTTCTCTTTAGGGCTCACAAAACATCAGTAGACAAACAGAAATTTTTTTGACCGGTACAAAGGCTCATTACATTCAGAGCTAGCATCATTTACAATTCTGGACTCCTTCACAAACTATGTCGCTAAGGATTTCTGTGCTCTCTTCATCACTATTCTGACTTCACAGTGTGTGTCAATGAGTCATGAGTTCTTTCAGTGCCTCAGCCTCATGCACATGGGCAGGTCCTTCCTTTACAAATCACTGGCTGAATCTTCAGATAACCCAACCACCAAGGAACCAAAATATTTTCTTTTAAAACACTTTAAAACATCAATGGCATGGCAGATAATTTATCTCTTGTGCCACAAAGGAATGAACCTGGATGCTCTCAATGTGCATCCTGGGAAAGAGCTATTACGCCACAGATAACACAAACTCTAGTTATCCTTCAGTAGCTGTTTTGGTTTCATGCAGAAGAGCCAGAAGAAGGCGGCGGCCATTTACAACAAGTAAGTCTGTTTTCATCATGTTATTGCCATATTTAATTTTAATCAACCGATAACTTCAGGAAACTGCCATTTCCAGGCTCCATCATACCAACTAAGTACTGGAGGGTTTCACACTGGCATACCAAGGTCCTCCTCTGCTCCTGAAGAATTACTTCTTGCGAGTGTTAATCATTCACTGAGGACTACTCAGAGTCCCAGGAATCAAACATAGGGTCCTCCATATCAACTGTGATTTTCTGCATTGGCAGGCTTACAGCCCAAAAAGAAATCCAAAGCCAAGGCACCTAGCAGAGGAACTGCCAGCCTTCCTCCAGAACCAGCCATGAAGCCATTGTGATTCAGGAAGCAGACCTCCCCACCTAAACCAGCTCCACATGGTCAAGGTGGGTCCGATGTTTGCTCAAAGAGTAAGGTAGACAATTTTGTCATTCTGAATGTGAAACTGAATTAATGACAAACACAAGTGATGTGTAGGCTGTCTTTTAGATAGTGGCTTCAGCCTACATGTCAGTCCAGTCTTGCCTTGCATGAAAATTGGCAGGATGTAAGGCTGCTGCAAGCAGAGATTTGGGGCACAACAAGGAGTAAACTTGAGGCACTGTGTCCCCATGCAAGATCCAAGCACACACACCCTGCCACACCACACAAACACATAAAACTGGTATCAGAATACAGTTTATCCCATTGTCTGGCTCATACACCACCAAATGATTCAGACAAAGCCAAAGGTGTTTATAATCCCATGAAGTGTAATGAGACATTAGCCTATCGCTATCAGTATGTAAACTATCCACTTAAATACATATGCAGAGGGAAAGGTAGAAAGGACTTCAAAGAAGGATCTGACAAGGTTCATATGCTTGTAGCTATCATGGGAAAAAACAGAGAACTCAAAATGCCAGACTGCACAGCTTCTCTAGAAGGCTAATTTCTACAGCTTTCTCCTCAGTTATGTACATCTCTCATTGAGGAATCTGCACACAAACTCCAGCAGCTCAAGGCAAAGCCTGAATTCCAGAGTATTTCAGTTTATCTTTTCTAGTATGCTCTGCCCCTCCTCATGAAGCTACTTTGCTTCTGTTAATATCCAGCAAGTCCCAACATGTGGTAAATCATAAAGTGCACACTTACAGCCCAAATGCTTTTCATACACTGGAGCAGTTTGCAAAGATTTCAGCATAAACTTCCTAGCTGTGCTTGGGGGCAGAATTTAAACTCCAGGTATTTCCCACTTCAAAATTATTTTAAAATTACTTCCAATCTCTGCAAAAATAAAAAAGCAGTGGCATGTTCTCCTCGTCTGGCCTTTCAGTCTTGGAGAAGACATTGTGTGGTAGGCATCACAGGGAATCAAGGAATGCTTTTCCTGCTTTGCCACTGACTTGACCAATTCTCTTTTCCTCTCAGCTTGTTTTCCCATGACGAAGATGTGATTAAATATTAATTTATGGCTGTAAGCTCATTTGAATTACCCCATAAAAATTAGTTTAGAAAGGAACATTATTAAATATCAGTTCAAAACACTGTTCTCCTTCCTTAGGTATTCTAAGACTTACCTTAAGCCCTGGGGAGAGGACCTGTTGCTGATTTATCTGTATCACTGCAATAGCAATGACAAGAACTATGCTTAGAAGAAGGAACACTTGGGCAACAACACTTGGGGTCCTGGTGAGCATCCTGAAACAACAAAAAGGGAAACACTTCAGGAATGTGAAAGGATTCAGTGATTCTGTCTTAAGGCCTGAAGCCCTGAATCAGTTGAGACTCCTCATAAAATCTCATTTCATCAACTAGATTATGCTACATGAAAATTCTGTGTTCTCCTCAAGAACAGCCTGGTGTTTTGCTACCACTAACTTTTTATTATCTAGAAGGGGCGTGTCTATATTGTCATGCTAATGATGCCACATTTCACCCTCAGGTGCCAGTCTGCTCATTTCCCACAGTGCCTACATGTAGATGCATGCTCACCATCTCCCGTTGCCTCAGGAAATGACAGCAATGGGCAGGCTGGGGCTAGTGCACACTCAACAATCCTATGTACACCTACAACACAGACATAACCACAGCCATGTAGACACAATGCTGGAGGCTGCTGTGTACAGTGGGATGTTTCTGCCGGAGATGCAAGGTCAGTGTCTATAACAGATACAGGCTGCTTCAGCAAGAAACAAAGGAGGTTTTAAGAACATTAAAGTAGGTATCTTTCTTCTAACTGCTGATGTGTTCATGAAGTATGTTTGCGTGCATATGCATACTACACATAAAATAAAAAATATACAGTTTAACTCACAGATCTTGCGATGAAAAGTTACTAAATCTAAGTAAATCTAACATGTAGTTATGTTAGACAAACCCAAAGGTGACATGAAACATGCATACTGACGATAAGGCTGTTCATACATTCATATCCTCTAGAAAGGTTTTCTAGAAGTCAAATGTGGTTTAGATTTCCTGTAATTTCTGTTCATCCTTTATTTTTGCATGTCCCTGTCCAGACAGCTCTTCACCCCAAAACGCCTTTCAGTACCTCCGAGTACTGACAATCCTCATATCAAAAATTCTTATGCTCCACGGGGGTTGAGGAGGAAAGAAGTGGCTGGTGGGAGATGGCAAGCTTAGAAGTGTCAGAGGAACACAAAAAGGAGAACTTTCCTGCCTTTCTCATTTTCAGAAACCAGCTATTTTGGCATAGAAATATCAAGTTAGCCTGGCGTGATCTATCCTGACTCCCATCTCCTAATTCTTCCGTACTGACGGTGGAGCGTACCAGTGGCTGTTCAGGGCTGCCTTGCTGTTTCAGCAATTGCCAATGCCAATTTGGGCTGAGCACAGGAGCTAAAAGGTGGTCCTCAGTCCACGGCCACAGCACACTGGGTCAGCCCCGTTGTACCTGCAACACATGGTCTTCTCCTTAGCTCCAACCAGACCCAGAGGGCTGAGGGGAAGGCAAAACAAATGCTTCTTCACGCTGTTTCCATATTCTAAACCCCATGGGTTCTTCGGCCTGTGTACCCATGGTCTAACATCTATATTCACATTCAAAAGAGAAGCAAGTTATTTGTTTTGTTCTGGGACTAGCTTCACTCTGAGCTTTGCCCACTGCTGCTGCTTTCCTTCTTTGTCTTCTGATTTCTATTGTGAAATCTAACTCATATTGGCTTTTGGAAACTCTTCATTTCATCCAGACACATCTCAATTCCAGAACATCATTTTTTACACTCATTAACCCCCTTTCCTAAATCCATATGGGCTCCTTGTTTACTGCCAATCTACTCTTCCAATACTTTCTTTTCTTGGTTTGGTAATAGCTTTATTATCTTAATCATCAGCCAGTTTTAAGAGAAAATTACCAGTCACATTGATGATTTATTTACTGCTGTCTATTGCTTTACTGTCCTGAAGCATTCAAACATCATGTACACGATGCATAAATGATAGAATGAAATCTTATTTTTACTATTAGAAAATATGTTAACACCCAAGATGAATTCTTACTGTAACCTGCGGATGATGTCAGGGCATACTAATTAGAAGCATTTATACAAATCAATTCATTTTTTAAAAGAGACAGCAGATTTTAACTATACATTTATGAATAACCATCTGGAAAAAATACTTGTCTTTAGGGGGAGAAAAAATCTTTTTCTTTAGCTTTCAACTGTACATGGAGTCATCTATAATTTTAAAGTGACTGAAAGAGAACTATCTGCTTGCAACCTAATATATACCAGTCACTCCTGGATCAAAGCACTGATGTTCAGCGCTGGAAAAAATAAGTCATTATCAAAGAAAAAAAACACTCAGGGCAAATGACTCTTTGAAAAACTAAAGCATTACTAAAAAGCAAAGCAATAACCACTATTATACTATTAACACTTAAGAACACCCATGATGACTGCTGAAATATTTTCTGCTGCATCTGTTTGTAAAGGGGAAATTGAAATCTTCGTTTGTTGAATTTCTCATGTGCTTCCCTGGTACTGGGATTTGTTTTCATCGGAGATGATTTCTCTTTTCAAAAATCTTTCCTGACAGGGAGCATATTAGGTAAGGGAACATCTCTTAAGACATTCCTCATACAATCTTGTCCTATTGGCAATCAGGACAATTTCATCAGAGAATAATCTGTAAATCCTGATTTAAGCAACAGCCTCTGTGTCAGAAGGACACTTTACACTCCATGCCTGCGTGAAGTCGTCACACAGTTGACATCTTCGCTATCTGAATTGTGCAAGACGCTGCAAGATTTCACATAACTGGATCAGAAGCACGGGGCTGTATTTACTTTTAGCTACACTCATCTAAGTCACACACATACCAGGTAATACAGTCATACTTGTCCATTCACTGAAATCCACAGAGATACCAAAGAGTTCATTCATTCCACAGTTTAAACAGAGTTGTAACGTAAGTAACTCTAGCTAACATTGCGCACTTGTTGGCAAAAAGCCAAATAAAAGAAGATTTTAATGAAGTATCTAAAAGCAGTTGCATTCCATTTTTAAAACAACATTGACCTGAAGCAAGAAACAGCATAAATACTGTTACAATACTGTAGTATTGTTAGTTACATTTAGTTACAGTTACAATACTGTACACCCAATTAAGTACACTGGGCCATACAGGAGTATATTGGAAGGATCATTTTCTACACCTTACTTCAAGCAAAAAGAATACCTGCCTGCAAAGGAAAATGGACTAAACTCCGTCATGCCACCAACATTTTAACTAGGTTAAATACACGTATATGAATGACAGTGCACCTCATGGCACAGCACCAGCACATCTGGCTCCAGATCAGAAAGTTGTGCGTTCAAGTCACACTGGGGTCGGGGTGGGGGGGCCAAGGGGGGCCCAAGGCTGTTCCCACTTTAATGGTTGGACTTGATTATCTTAAAAGGTCTTTTCCAACCTAAACGATTCTATGATTATATGTTGAAATTCCTTTTCCCAAGTTACTTGTAACATCAAACCCACTTATTTTAGGTACTAACCTGTTTGTTCATAGGGGAATGGGCAAGCACCATAAGTATCTTTCTTCACACTATAACCAGAGAGATACAAACACATTAGCATTTATTTTAGAAGTGGTCTACAGGTGAATGCTTTTCAAGTGCTGAAAAAAGAAACCAAAACACCAAAAACCCAACACCCACAGCATTTTAAAACCCGCAATGAAAACCTGTGAGGAGGTTTCACAGGCCTTCCTTCAGAGGAGAAATTAAGTAAAAGCAAGCACATGGACCCAAAATTAGCAGCTGAAGCTCAGAGTTTTCCCTCAGCTCGCCGTCGTCCCAGGTGAGAAAGCTTCACACAACGATTGTGATTTGCGAGGAAGCACAAAGTTTTCCCCAAAAAAAACCGCGGAGAGACAGAGAGACGCTCTCCCCCCCTCCTCCCGCCCCACCAACAGGCGCGGGGGGACGCGCCCAGCCCCC